GTGCATGCTTGGAACCACTCTACGGGCAGTTTCTTAATGTGGGCATACAGTAATGTTAATGGCGTTGACCGAGCCACTAACACCCGCTGACACAAAGTGCCACCACTAGGATGATAATTCACCAGGGCAAATCACAGAAACCCCGTTCAATCTTGAGGTTTATTATATTAGGGCTCCCGACGAACGCCAGAGTGGATACAGTAACTGTCTAGAACTCGTTTCCGCTCCTCAAGATCAGTTAGGCATGTAGAGCTTTTTTAAAATCCATACGTCCTTTTAAGGATAAAATTTGTTGTTATTTGAAGCCCCACCCTGGCCTTTGCCAGGGGCCGCAATATAGGCAGGCCATAAATATGGCCAATTGCCTGAACGCGGTTTCTGGGACCTCTCCACGGTGATCCTCATCCACATGGTGGCACTTTGTGTCATTGGGTGTTTATCGCTTGTGTGATGTCCTAGTGGGGTAGAAAGTCAGTCAGTCAGTAGAGCTTCGCAAATTTGAAAAGAGCTCAAATCCAATTAATATTAATTTACAAGTGTATAGCAACACCCAATACCCACAACAATGTTCTCGCACGGAGCAGACAACCCGTGTCATCTTGAAATAAATTCAACTGTTGTTGCAGGATCCCTGGAGACTGTGAAGTTACCGCCCTTTGTGGACCACTGTGATGTTAAATGTCCAGGTTTGTTCTGTTCTTACTTTTTTGGTTTTATTCCTTACGTCCTTCTTAGGACGTTATTTTTTGTTATTTGAAGCCCCACTCTGGCTTTTGCCAGGGGCCGCAATATAGGCAGGTCATCATTATGGCCAAATGTCTGAACGCGGTTTCTGGGACCTCTCCACGGTGATCCTCATCCGCATGGTGGCACTTTGTGTCATCGGGTGTGTATCGCTTGTGTGATGTCCTGGTGGGGAAAAAAGCCAATCCAATCTGTTCTTACTTGGTTCTCGGGAACTCACATCCTCAGAGTGTGTCAAATCGTTTGTGTGGGTGGTTGAGCACCAGCTGGGAGTTGTGTCCACATCACACTGTCTCTGTATGTGGTTGTCTTCGCGTGTCACATGTATGTCACTTTACATGCCTCTGTATGTTAGTATGTATATGTCTTCTAGTGTCTCCGTGTAATGCGTGCGTGTCTGAGTATGCCTCTATGTCATATCTGCATGTCTCCAATGCTAAATTTTGGTATCAATCTAATGCGAGGGGCAGTCCTAACGTCCCTCCCATGCATGTGCTCGGGGCTGGGCAGATTTCTAAAGGTACACATAATAAAGTCGCATACGCTCCATTCTGACTCGACTGTGCCAGGGACTGGCAACTGGCGGTTGACCTGTCTGGCTTTGAGAAATATCCCGAAACCACACGAATGCTTGACCTGAGAGCAGACATGGTTTTGCACTGTGCGACGGAACGCCAGCTCATCTTGATAGAGCTCAGCGTGCCGTACAAGTCGCCGCCAATGGAAGAAAACTATTTGTGTAAGCTTCAGTGATAGAGCTACCTGGTGGCCGCTCTGAATAGCGATGAAGGGTACGCGGTAAAACTCGTCGCGGTCGACGTAGGCGCAAGATGGCTAATCTGCACATCTACATACAACGTACTAAAGCAGCTGGGCTTACGAGGAAACGTGCGTATTGTTGTTGTTGTTATCGATCCAGCGGCGCATGAGCTTTCGCCCTTTGGCCCAATGCCATGTAGTGGAATTTGCATGTTTTCACAAGCTGTTCTTTTCCTCCGTACAAGGTGTTCCACTTGTCTGGTCTCGGAGGGAGTAGCGTTCTTCTTGTCTCACTGAGTTTTGGGCACTCAAAGAGATGGTGTTCAGCAGTTTCGTAGGGGTAGTTACATAGCTGACACTCTGGGGAGTGTTGTGGCTGTATTCTGTTTAGGTGTCCATTGAGTGGAGTATGTTGAGTTCTAAGTCTGAAGATGGTGGCCTGGTCCCTTCTTGTTAGATGGTTAATGCTGTCATTAGGATCAGGGACAGACATATGTCTATACACCTCTCTTCCAGTGTCTCCCATGGCCCATCTGTTCAACCAAGTCTCTTTGTTTATAGCTCTTATCAGTGTTTTTGCTGTCTGGAGGGTTGTCGCTGTAGGTGGTTGTTCTTGTGTTGCTCCTTTCTTTGCCAATCTGTCAGCTCTGTCATTACCTGGTGTGCCGGAGTGACCTGGAATCCACTGCATCACTATTCTGATGTTGTATGAGGTAATAAGCTGATCAGCATCCAGGATTATCTTGGCTATGTCAGTTCTGCAGCGTTCACTGCCCTCCAGAGCTTGAAGGGCAGACATTGAATCTGTGAAGATGAAAATATTTTGGACCTTTGAAGGGTAAACATCCATTACAGTCTTTAGGTGGTATACTGCTGTTTCCAGTGCAATTATTTCAGCTTCATAGTTTGAACAGAATTCCCCGCATGCATCAAAAATCTCTTCAACAGATCCATCGGGATAACCTATGTAGATTCCGTAACCTGCTTTAATGGTAGCTTTAAATGCTGATCCATCAGCATAGACATGTATCCATTCTTGGGGGTAAGAATCAACGGTCTTTAGTGATGAGTTCATAAGAGCGATTGGGTCGGACTGTTTGGTTTCCTCGCCTACCAATTTAGTTCGGACTTCTGGAGCTTTAAAGCGAGCATGTGGTGGTAGGTTTCTTGCAACATTCTGAATTCCTTGACGTCTTTCTGGGAGGTGGTGTCTGTCCTGAATTTCATTAACACAGTGTAAAACCGATTTGTGCTTTATTCTTTGTTTGTATTCCCAGTTTTCTACAAGATGTCTATTAGGATGGTTACGATTTTTCCTAATGCATCTTTCATAAATTTCTAAAGTAGCTTTTTCTCTCCGCAACCCGAGGGGTTCCACATTTGTATGGATTTCACATGCAGCAGTTGGTGTAGACTGCATAGCTCCGCAGATTAATCGGAGCGTAAAACAGCTGGGTGGAGTTGCCGAAAGAGCTTTGAGCTGTCTGTGGACACGACGTAGGGGATAGGCCTCGGTAGACTGGTCCGAGCTCCTAGGGGGAAAGAATTGTTAAATCGCTAATGCCAAGTCTGGCCCTGTTACTCTGCCAGCTGCCAAGTGTATCCGACACACGTCTGTCCGATGAACCAACCGTCTGTTTGTCACTCTGATTGTACAAGTAGGCGCACAATCTGCATAACCTCAGCACCTGTTACATACCATCATTTGGTCTAAGCACAGCAGGACAAGTCAGATGCCTGAAGTTATGACCCAGCTCGTCCCACCTCTTGAGATTGTCTAGGATAAACAAAAAGGCTGAAAGAATTGTTGAAGAGGGGACCCGCCTACTGATGATCGACAGACTCCTACTGGGAATGCTCTTCTTATTATTATATATACTAAACACACTACTATACAGGGCCGCACAATTCTTCTGCACAAATGAAGTTTTCTTTTAATATAGTTTTATTGCCGTTTTCTCTTAATATATAAAAACATTCATCATTATCTTCATCATCATCAGGTGCCTTGCTGACTTGCGTGGGCGATCATGCCTCTCCATAATCTGCGATCTCCTGCAGCATGTATCAATTCGTGTGCAGACACACCTCCACGCCATGCAACAAGACTGTCAAGCATCTTCTCTCGTTGTCTTCCTCTACCCCTCCTTCCACAGATCTTTCCAGTGATCACAACATGTTCTTTTTTCGCTCTTCTCATAACATGGCCGAAAAATGATGACTGTCTCCATCTGATGTCTGTGAAAAGTTGTCTTCGGGTTCCCGCCTCTTTCAAAACCTCTTGGTTGCTCTTTTTGGCTGTCCAAAGTATTCTAAGCATTCTTCTGTAAAACCACATCTCTGAGGCCTCTAGAAATTGTTCGGCCTGTCTACCGATTGTCCAGGATTCACAGCCATATGTTAAAACTGGATGTATGTAGCAAGCAAGAGTTCTTTTTACAACTCGGAGCGGCAATAGAAGAAGTAACAGTAGTAGTAAGCCAAGTGGTAGTAGCAGATACTGCAGAAGAAGAAGAGGAGGAAGTAGGATATGGAGGAGGAGGTGAAGAAGAAGAAAAAAAAAAGAAGAAGAAGAAGAAGAAGAAGAAGAAGAAGAAGAAGAAGAAGAAGAAGAAGAAGAAGGAGGAGAAGGAGGAGGAGGAGGAGAAAAAGAAGAAGAAAGAAGAAGAAGAAGAAGGAAGAAGAAGAAAGAAGAAGAAGAAGAAGAAGAAGAAGAAGAAGAAGAAGAAGAAGAAGAAGAAGAAGAAGAAGAAGAAGAAGAAGAAGAAGAAGAAGAAGAAGAAACAAGAAGAAAAAGAAGAAGAAGAAGAAACAAGAAGAAGAAGAAGAAACAAGAAGAACAAGAAGAAGAAGAAGAGAAGAAGAAGAAGAAGAAGAAGAAGAAGAAGAAAGAAGAAGAAGAAGAAGAAGAAGAAGAAGAAGAAGAAAAGAAGAAGAAGAAGAAGAGAAAGAAGAAGAAGAAGAAGAAGAAGAAGAAGAAGAAGAAGAAGAAGAAGAAGAAGAAGAAGAAGAAGAAGAAGAAGAAGAAGAAGAGAAGAAGAAGAAGAAGAAGAAGAAGAAGAAGAAAAGAAAGAAGAAGAAGAAGAAGAAGAAGAAGAAGAAGAAGAAGAAGAAGAAGAAGAAGAAGAAGAAGAAGAAGAAGAAAAGAAGAAGAAGAAGAAGAAGAAGAAGAAGAAAGAAGAAGAAGAGAAGAAGAAGAAGAAGAAGAAGAAGAAGAGAAGAAGAAGAAGAAGAAGAAGAAGAAGAAGAAGAAGAAGAAGAAGAAGAAGAAGAAGAAGAAGAAGAAGAAGAAGTAGAAGATAGAAAGAAAAAAAAAGAAGAGGAGGAATAATTTATGAAAGAATAATTTGCAAGCATCGTCATCACTATCACCATCATCGCCAGGGGAGAACGGAACTGCGGTAAACATCAACAGGGAGAGCCTCAAGTCTGAAGAAGAGAAGGCCCGCTTCGACCAGGGACTGGTGCTTAATTCCTTCAGCCAGTACGTCAGTGACATGATTTCTGTTCATAGGAGGTTGCCAGATTGTAGGTCCGATATGTGAGTATGATCTAGCACATCTGTCTGTCTGTCTGTCTGTCTGTCTGTCTGTCTGTCTGTCTGTCTGTCTGTCTGTCTGTCTGTCTGTCTGTCTGTCTGTCTGTCTGTCTGTCTGTCTGTCTGTCTGTCTGTCTGTCTGTCTGTCTGTCTGTCCGTCCGTCCGTCCGTCCGTCCGTCCGTCCGTCCGTCCGTCCGTCTGTCTGTCTGTCTGTCTGTCTGTCTGTCTGTCTGTCTGTCTGTCTCTGTCCGTCTGTCCTGTCTGTATGTCTGTCTGTCTGTCTGTCTGTCTGTCTGTCTGTCTGTCTGTCTGTCTGTCTGTCTGTCTGTCTGTCTGTCTGTCTGTCTGTCTGTCTGTCTGTCTGTCTGTCTGTCTGTCTGTCTGTCTGTCTGTCTGTCTGTCTGTTGGTCTTCTGTCTGTCTGTCTGTCGGTCGGTCGGTCTGTATGTGTGTGTATCTGTCTGTCGGTCTGTCTATCTGTCGGTCTTCTGTCTGTGTGTCTGTCTGTCTGTCGTCTGTCTGTCTGTCTGTCTGTCTGTCTGTCTGTCTTTTCCTGCTGAAGTAAGGACCGACCACACAGAGCTGATTTGGCTCCCGTCAACCTTCAGCAGTTAGAAAAGTCTGACCTGTCGTGTACAAATCTAAAGACAAGAAATGTCAGGTTGATCAATATACTGCCTTGGGACTGATATTTGAAAGTCTGAATACCAATGTGATCCAAAAAGTCGTAATCCAACAAGACAGATCCCAAATACCCTGTTCAGTTCCGCCAACAATGAAGGTGCTCCTTAGTGCTACTGTGGTATACCCTCTTTGTCGAAAGGCTGTAAGGAGGGAGGAGGGAAGGGGAGGGAGTGCGCCTATTAGAATATAACTGTTGTCGTAATGTTGGAGGATTTGTGGTGTTAGTGTTGTATCGATGAAGGCGCATGAGCTGTCGTGGCCCAAATGTTGTGGGAATAACATGTTTTCGTTCTTTTTGGAGGATCCACTGTCTGGTGTCGTAATGCTCTTCTTGTCTCACTGAGTTTTGGGCACTCAAAGAGATGTGTTCAACAGTGTTGGAGGATAGGGGTGGTGTCTGGCAATGTTGAAGGTTAACTGTTTAGGTGTCATGAATGTATGGAGGAGTCTGAACTGGCCTGGTCCCTTCGTAGATGTTAATGCTGTCATTAGGATCAACTGGTGTCTATAATGTTGTGTCTCCCATGGCCCACTGGTGTCGTTTAATGCTTGGAGGATAACTTTGTCATCTGGATGTGTAGGAGGTTGTTCTTGTGTTGCTCCTTTAATGTTGGAGGTCATTACTGGTGCCGTGACCTGAATTGGAGGATATTCTGATGTGTATGAGGTAATAAGATGATTGGCAGGATAACTGGTGTTCATAATGTTGGAGGCTTGAAGGGGTGTCATTGAATGTTGAAGAGGACAATATTTTGGACTTTGAGGGGTGTCGTACATGTTAGGAGGTATACTGCTGTTTGTCGCAATTTGGCTTCATAGGAACAGAATTCCCCGCATGCATCAAAAATCTCTTTGAATCGGGATAACTATGTAGTCCGTAACCTGCTTTAATGTTGGAGGATAGAACTTGGAATGTCTTTAATGATGAGAGGATAACTGGTGTCGTAATGTTGGAGGATTACTGGTGTCATAATGTTGGAGGATAACTGGTGTCATAATGTTGGAGGATAACTGGTGTCGTAATGTTGGAGGATAACTGGTGTCATAATGTTGGAGGATAACTGGTGTCGTAATGTTGGAGGATAACTGGTGTCGTAATGTTGGAGGATTACTGGTGTCATAATGTTGGAGGATAACTGGTGTCATAATGTTGGAGGATAACTGGTGTCATAATGTTGGAGGATAACTGGTGTCATAATGTTGGAGGATAACTTACTGCCTTGATTATGCCTCCCCCTCCCTCACCCGCTCCCACAGCTGTCGGAAACTGGTTGGAGAACTTCAACGGGACGCTGCCAGAAATCAGTGTCATCATCATCTTCTACAACGAGGCTTGGACTCCACTACTGAGATCTGTACACAGTGTCATCGACCGGACCCCTGCTCATCTACTGAAGCAAATCATCCTGGTAGATGACAATTCGACTTTTGGTGAGTGAATTGTCTTCCCTCTATTTGTCAGCTGTTTCCTTAATGAAGGTTCTAGTGTGTAACCTACCGTTGTATTTGGTGTTATTACGTGATAGACCACCAGTCTCTTCCTCTGTGCAACTCTCTTACCACAGTCCGAAACAACGAAAGCTTGAAAAAAAAAAAAAAAAAAAAAAAACAACATTCAGCACGGAAATGGAACCCTGATACTTAGGGTTCATAGTATTGTTAAAGATAACTAATCTCTAAGTAAACTCACAGTTATCCAGACTTGAGGGCAGTGTTGCCACTTTTCTTTGACAAAAAACATCCAAAACGGAGTCAAAAATATCTTAAAAACATCTAAATTTGCGGGGAAAATATTTAGAAAAAACATCCAAATGGAAAGAGTCACAAATTACATAGCAATTTATATGACTTACCCTATAGAATCATGTCCTCATCTTTACTGAAGTCTGCCTCATAAGATCCACAGGATAAACTTAGCTTGGAGGATGAAGTTGAAGCTTCAGATCCAAAATGACTCTGGTATGATTTAGCTGTTCCAATTTCTTTTAATACCCAATCAGGGAGCTGATAAGTGAAACAGCCTTTTCCTACTCTTATCAGGCCAAATTGTTTTTGTGAATATAGCATTTAAGAGGTCAAATTTCATCCTGTTTCTTAGGTTAGATTTGATAAACTCACTCTAAATAAAAAACATCTAGAGAAACTCTACCATCTAAACGTCAAAAACGCCATCTAAATGCAAGGAAAAGCATCTGATTCTGGATGTAAAACATCCAAAGTAGCAACACTGCTTGACGGGGCTTGTAAATGGAAGTCTTTCTCATTTGTCCAAAAATCAAGCCGTTAGGTTCAAAAATGCATTTAGTTAGATGTCAAGTGAAATCCCGGCCTCTAACTATTCGCTAAGACATCGGTTCTCAACCTGTGGGTGGCGACCTTTTTTTTGGGTCGAACGACCCTTCCACCGGGGTCGCCAAAGACCATATGAAAACACATATTCATTGAAATATGGGACGTTCTGGGGATTTCCCTATCAAATCTTGAAGCCAAAGAGACGTGGTCGCAAAAAATATTAAAGCACTAAATTAATATTATTATTGTGCTTTTAAACAGAGCTTTATTCCCACCCTCCCTCCCAACCCCCGAGCTCACCCCTTGAAAATTATTTTTGGTTAAAGGGAGGGTCCTCAAACAGTCAATGCCTTGTTTAATTGCACAGTAATAATAATCATATTAGTAATAATAATTATCGTACTGAGAGTCGTTGTGATGTAGCAGATAGACTCTCGCCTGTGGATTTGGAGGTCATGGATTCGAATCCTTTGCCTTGCCCTCTGACAGAAGCCATGGCTAAAACTATAACGTTTATTTTTTTTTTTTTTTTTACATTGATATATTTGACAGATTACCTAAAGGCGCCCTTGGATAAATATTTCCGCAAGTATCCTGTTGTAGAAATTATACACGCCACCGGAAGACTTGGTTTGATCAAAGCCAGACTTGTTGGATTTGAAGTCTCAGTGGCACCTGTTGTTGTGTTCCTCGACTCGCACACTGAGTGCTTTCCAGGTGAGTTTTATCGTGGTTGGAGGTTGGTGCAGCTGTTGTTGTGTTCCTCGACTCGCACATTGAGTGCTTTCCAGGCGAGTTTTGTCGTGGTTGGAGGTTGGTGCAGCTGTTGTTGTGTTCCTCGACTCGCACACTGAGTGCTTTTCAGGCGAGTTTTATCGTGGTTGGAGGTTGGTGCAGCTGTTGTTGTGTTCCTCGACTCGCACACTGAGTGCTTTCCAGGCGAGTTTTGTCGTGGTGTGTTTGCAGCTGTTTGTGTGTGTTCCTCGACTCGCACACTGAGTGCTTTCCAGGCGAGTTTTGTCGTGTGTTTAGGTGGGTGTACCTGTTGCTGTGTTCCTCGAATCGCACAATGAGTGCTTTTCAGGTGAATTTCAGCGTGGGTGTAGGATGGTGCACCTGTTGTTGTGTTCCTTGGCTCGCACATTGAGTGCTTTCGAGGTGTTTTATCGTGTGTGTAGGTGGTGGGTGCAGCTGTTGTTGTGTTCCTTGACTCGCACATTGAGTGCTTTGTGAGTTTCACCGTGGGTCAAGAAGTAGTTGAACCATTGTTGCCGGGGCCTTAAGGGAGCCGAAGAACAGTAACAGTGTAACACGTCGTAGCTCATAGGGTGGCCATCGCGTCGACCGGCAAGCCGTGATAGCCTGATAGCTGGAGTCTGCGTCACACTGGCTGGGCTAGTAGACATGCGATTCTGTCTATAACTGACCTCTAGTGGACTGGTAGGCCGCTATAACTCGCCCTAGAAGTGTAGAATCTGGCTCACCAACCAATCTTCTGGAACATTCTAGAACGTTCTTCATTGGGCAACACTGACGCTGCTCGAAAGTTCGCGATCTAAAGACTGTGATCTCACAGCTATCGGCAAGTGACGTATAGACTTGTAATGTCATAAATGGCAGAGGTGACTGAAAAAATGATTCAATGTAAATCTTTACTGCATTAGTGTTTTTGGCACCTATTTCCTTGAAGTATTTTTTTTTTAGTCGTCAGGTAGAAATGAGGAAATAGCCAAAGATAATCATTAGCTTGGCGAATGGGAGGAGGAGTTCTTATTCATCACTGGAAAATGACGTGTTTGTCCGTTTGCGAAACGTCTGTTGCGCTTTCAAAAACGATAATTTAGAAATACATTTCAGGCACTCTCATGTCACAGTCTCTGCGGAATACATGCTCATTCGTGTACACCCTGTTTCCCTGTGTTTCAGTCTAAAGAGAACCTACGTATATTTATGTACACCGTGTTTCAGTCTAGAGAGAACCTACGTATATTCACGTACGCCGTGTTTCAGTCCAGAGAGAACCTACGTATATTCACGTGCACTGTGTTTCAGTCTAGAGAGAACCTACGTATACTCACGTACACCTTGTTTCAGGCTGGGTGGAATCAATGCTCATTCGCATCTCCAGGAACCGCAAGTCCGTGGTGTTCCCACTGATACAGGCGATTGATAAAGACACGTTTAAAGTGAAATGCGCTAGACACCCAACGTTTTATTGTGGTTTCAGTTGGACATTTCTGCAGCTGCAGTGGATGCTCATCCCAAGAAGAGTGTTCAGTGTGAGGCAAGACGAAGCGGATAGCATCAAGTGAGTTGGTAACCAAATATGTCCTTTATAGAGTGCTAGTATAAAGGACTTTACTTGTAGATTATTATTTAAAAAGGCTGTCAATCTAGAGTAGTAAATAGTATAAAGGTTATCTTGTCGAGCTATATGGTGTATGTGTAGTAACAGTAGCAACAGGAGCAGCAGTGGCAGTAGTAACATGCATATACTTCTGTCTTTTTGTTTGCCTTTTATCTATCAAAGAAGTATAGGCCCTCGGCCAATACACGCCAAATCTTTCGTTGTTTACTGCATCCACCTCACCCTTGTTCTCCCCATCTTTCTAACTCTCTCTCTCTCTCTCTCTCTCTCTCTCTCTCTCTCTCTCTCTTTCTCTCTCTCTGTCTGCTGTGTGAAAGATGGTTGACTGGAAGGGCCGAATGGAAGACCTCTTTGAAAATAAAGTTCGTTCGTTCCTTCGTTCTCTCTCTCTCTCTCTCTCTGTCTCTCTCTGTCTGTCTCTCTCTCTCTGTCTCTCTCTCTCTCCCTCTCTTCTCTCTCTCTCTGTCTCTCTCTCCTCCCCTCTCTCCTCTCTCTCCTCTCTCTCTGTCTGTCTCTCTCTCTCCTCCCCCCCTCTCTCTCTGTCTCTCTGTCTCTCTCCCTCTCTCTCTGTCTCTCTCTCTCTCACTCTCTCTCTCTCTCTCTTCTCCCTCTCTCTCTCTCTCTCTCTCTCATCGTCTCTCTCTCTCTCTCTCTCCTCTCTCTCTCTCTCTCTCTCTCCTCCCCTCTCTCCCCTCTACTCTCTCTCTCTCTCCCCCTCTCTCTCTCTCTCCCTCTCTCTCTCTCCCTCTCTCTCTCTTTCTCTCTCTCTCTCTCGTGCTTATGGGCCTGTCTAATAATATTCTTGTCAAGTTTTCTCAATGTGTGTCCTGTCCAACGCCAGCATCTTTCCTCACCTCTTGATCCACTGGAACTTGTTTAGTTCTCTCCCAAAGCTCTACATTTGTCATTCTACCATACCATGTACTAACATGCGTAAACAACCAAACATTGTATGCTGGCCAGATCTCCCACTATGCCAGGCGGGCTGTTTGCCATCCATCGAGAATTTTTCAAAAAGCTAGGCACCTACGACCCTGGAACTTGCCGTGTGGGGAGGTGAAAACATGGAACTTTCATTCAAGGTCATGTATAACGGAATTGTTTTGTATTTCATTAAACACATGATTTATTGCGAAAGTGTGACTGAACCATTAGTAATCGGTTCTTTACTTGAAATGTCTACATAAACCTACCATCTGCCTATTAAATAGCACCAGAAGTTGCCTTTCTACACGATTTAAACAATTAAATGTAATAATAATAATAATATAATAATAATAATAATAATAATAATAATAATAATAATAATAATAATTTTTATTATTCTTATTATCATTATAATTTATTCTTCAAAATCATTCTCCTTTTCCTCTTTTTTTTCTGCTATCGCTACTAAAACCGCTACCTCTAACGTCCCCCACCACCACTACTACTTCCACCACCATCACCACCACTACTACTACCACGAACACCAATACATTACTACTACTACTACTACCACTACTACTACCACCACCACCACCACTACCACTACTACCACCACCACCACCATCACCACTACTACCACTACTACCACCACCATCACCATCACTACCACTACTACGACCACCACTACCACTGTTACCACTACTACCACCGCCAACCATAGCTTCTACTACTCTACTTCTTCTTCTGCCTTTCTATCCCCCAATGAAGCATAGGCCCTCAACTTACTCACGTTCTATCTTTCGCTTATTCATAGAGCTCTCCCCATGTTCTCCCCTTCTTTCTAACTTTATTCTCCCGCTCTCTTCTCCCCATGTTCTCCCCTTCTTTCTAACTTTATTCTCCCGCTCTCTTCTCCACGTGTTCTCCCCTTCTTTCTAACTTTATTCTCCCGCTCTCTTCTCCACGTGTTCTCCCCTTCTTTCTAACTTTATTCTCCCGCTCTCTTCTCCACGTGTTCTCCCCTTCTTTCTAACTTTATTCTCCCGCTCTCTTCTCCACGTGTTCTCCCCTTCTTTCTAACTTTATTCTCCCGCTCTCTTCTCCACGTGTTCTCCCCTTCTTTCTAACTTTATTCTCCCGCTCTCTTCTCCACGTGTTTTTTGGCCTTCCTTTATTCCTATGCCTCTGTGGGTTCCACTGCAAAAACATTCTAGTTATGCTGTTCTCCTGTTTTCTCAGTGTGTGTCCTATCCAACGCCAGCGTCTTTTCCTTAACTCTTGTTCCACTGGAACCTGTTTAGTTCTCTCCCAAAGCTCTACATTAGTTATTCTATCTTAGGCAGGCGTGGCCGTGGGGATACTTCGTTTATTTTGGATAAAACAACCTTACAGGTTTCGGCCTGTGCATCCCCTGGCGCAGTCCTGCTATAAAACAATTTTTGGGCCAAAGGGCGAAAGCTCATGCGCCGCTGGATCGATAACAACAAATCATACCATTTAATTCCCTCTATTCTGCGCAGGCACCAGTTAATGAATGTCTGTAATTTATTAGTAGTTGCCTTAGTTGTTCTCCATGTTTCCGCCCCATACAAAAGTAATGATTTCAAATAAGTACTACTCTACTACCTCTACTATTACAACATCAGCAAGTACAACAACAAAACAACTACTAATTTGCAACATGGTTGGCAGTAGTAACAGTTACAGCAATGGTTTTTGCGTTACCAGAGATAAGTAATGCTGGTATTACTGTAGCAGTTGTAGCGGCAACAGTAGTAGTCGGTAGCAGTGGTAACAGCAGCAGCAGCAGAAGAAAAAAATAATGATGAAGATGATGATGCTGAAGTAAAGAAGAAAAGAAGAAGAAGAAGAAGAAGAAGAAGAAGAAGAAGAAGAAGAAGAAAGAAGAAAGAAAGAAGAAAGAAAGAAAGAAAGAAAGAAAGAAAGAAGAGAAGAAAGGAAAGAAGAAAGAAAGAAAGAAAGAAAGAAAGAAAGGAGAAAAAAAAGAAAGAAAGAAAAGAAAGAAGAAAAGAAAGAAAGAAAGAAAGAAAGAAAGAAAAGAAAGAAGAAAGAAAGAAAAGAAAGAAAGAGAAAGAAAGAAAGAGAAAAGAAAGAAAGAAAGAAAGAAAGAAAGAAAGGAGAAGAAAGAAGTAAGAAAGAAAGAAAGAAAGAAAGAAAGAAAGAAAGAAAGAAAGAAAGAAAGAAAGAAAGAAAGAAAAAAATAAGAAAGAAGAAGGAGGAGGAGAAGAGGGAGAAGGAGAAGAAGAAAAAGGAGGAGGAGGAGGAGAGGAAGAAGAAGAGGAAGAGAAGGAGGGGGAGAGGAAGAAGGAAGAAGAAGAGGAAGAGAAGGAGGAGGAGAAGAAGAAGAAGAAGATAGTGATTATGAAGTAGACAAGGTGGACGAGCAGTAGGATTAGGATAAATTTGATGAAGAAGGAAGGAAACTTCTGGTAAATCTTTCAAAAGGGTTCTCAGACCTCATAATAAAAAAAAAGAAAAAAAAAAAAAACCTTACCTGCACAGTGTGTGGCGACAGCAATAGCCATACGACCGTAAATCTCCAGGCTCAAAACTTCCCTTCCTACACAGCAACAGTGGTGGTAGTTTTGCTTCCATCCTCAGATTCTAGAATCCCATTGAAGTGATCGTATGTCTGGCATATGTCACTTGTGAAGCAACGGTTTTTTAGTTTAAGCAATGATCCGAGTATTTCAGTCACCGCAAACATGTGCCCTATGTTCCTTGTCAATTGTTTACTCAGCTTTATTATTTTGTTTGTACGGTGTTCCAGACCTGGATGTGCGGTGGATCGCTGGAGATGGATCCATGTTCTATGGTGGGTCATGTGTTCCGCACTCCGAACCCACACAGAGCGCAAATCCCTCTAGAAGTTGTCACACGCAATACACAGCGGGTTGCCGAAGTCTGGATGGACGATTACAAAAACTACTACTATGAACGGAACAATTATCAATTTGTAAGTTTCTTGTGTCAAGTGGCCAGAACTAAAAGAAATAATATTATTAATTATTATTATTGTGCAGTTAAACACGAATTAGGCGGCCCCCCCCCCCCACCCTGCAAGCTCACCACACCACACAATTTTTCTTGGTAGGGAAATGTCCCCATAGAGTCAACACCTTGTTTAATTAAGCAATAATACTAATAATTAGTATTATTACGACAAGAGCAGCAGAGGTAATTTATCCTTTCGTGTGTGTGTATATAAAGATGTAAAAGGGAGGGGGTGGGGGGGGGGGAAGGATAGGTTCTCGACAAGTGAGGCAAAGAGAAATTGTCCGTTTTGTGTGGGGAAAAAAAGGGGTAGGGGAATACTTTACATGCAGAGGGACATTATCCTTGTGTGTATGTGTGTGTGTGTCTATGTGTGTGTGTGGGTGGGTGGGTGGGTGTGTGTGTGTGTGTGTGTGGAGGGGAGGGGGGATGCTCGTCAAGGGTGGTAGGTGAAAATTATCTTTTTTGTTTGTTTTGGATAAGAGTTGTAGAGGGAAAATATTATATAATAAAGGCAGACGCCAAGCAAAAGAATATTAGGACAAATTGTAATTTGTAAATACAGATATGAATGTCGGATTTGGGTATCCTGCCTTTGAACTTTTACATTGTCCGACTGTGACCTCTAGCCTCTACTGATTCACTCTATTTTAATAAGTGCCAATCATTACTCTTGAATGTATTTCTAAAGTACTAATGGCCTGATTGTTGCACTTGCCAGGTAGATGTGGGAAACGTTACAGACCGTCTGCAGTTACGAGCCAGACTCCAGTGCAAGAGCTTTGAGTGGTACCTGAAAAATATCTTCCCAGAACTGTCCTATCCTCACAACATGACCTACGTTGGACTGGTGTGTGTAATCTGATAGTGTCTATATGTGTGTGTGCGTGTGTGTGGTTTGTATGTGTGTGTGTGTGTGTGTATACGATCAAATGTCTTTATGAATGACTGGGATATGATGCTCTTCCAGACTTAGCAGCCTAGCAGGACCGGGTATTTGATAGAATCTCTTTCCCCGTTCTGGGGTTTCCTCCATTTCTACACAAATGTATAAATGCAATAACACAGATAAGACCTCTCAGACTGATTTCATTCTCATAAGGAAGACAGACAGAAGACAATTATTGGACTTAAGAGCACAACCAAACACAATCACGGATACTGATCATAAACCAATAATAGTAATAAAGAGAACAAGAAAACAAGATGCAAGAAGTTAACCACAGAAGTTATCCATGTAGGCAAATTTCATCACACAGCTATCTAATGACTTTCCTGAAGAGTAATAAGATGTACAAAACGAATGGGCAAACTTCAAATATGCATTACTGAACTCTGTTAAAAACAAATGCAGAATCAAAAAAGTACCACAAGACAAAGGATTAGCGAACTGCATTGTGAGATATAGATGCCAAAGATATCATTTCTTTTAAAAAAGAAAGCATTAAAAACGTGGATTAAATCGAAATGTGAACACAATTGTGTTACACATAGATTGATAAGAAAAGATGCAAAACGAAAGATCAAAGCTTCTAAAGATGAATCCTGGACAAAAAGTGTGAAGAACAGATGGCCAAACTTAGTAGAAGGTCCCTCAACAGAATTTTACAAACAAGTTAAAAATATGAGATTAAAAGATGAATACTATCATCCTACCACCAAAATAAACAACAAGAGAGACAGTCCTGTATTTAAATCAAATCAAAGGCCAGCAAGATGGACAAAATATTGCAAAGAGCTACTCATTCCTAAAAACAATGTAGTTAAGACCAGTTTTCTTCTTAAAAGCAGTGACAAAAATGAACCAAACTTGTTAGCATCAGAATAAAAGCTGTTGATACAGAAGAGCCCTAAAAACAAAGCACCTGGTTTAGACGGAATAACTACGAAAGCTATTCAAGCATTTGGTCAAACTGTCAACAAATTGCTAATAAGAATGTTCAATACAGCATGGGAAAAAAGGACAATCTCACTTGACTGGCAGCAGGCAGTGATAGTGCCAGTCTGGAAAAAGAAATGTAATACAAGAGACTGGGCATCGTACAAAGGTATAGCATTCTAGAGCCACATAGGCAACATGTATGCAAAGTTATTAGAACAGAGAGTTAGCCCTATAGCAGGACAGCACACTAAGTACATCACAGCTCGGTTTCAGGAAAGGAAAAGGTTGCACAGATGCATTATTTTCACTAAGACCAGTTTGCGAAAGAACCAGGGAATATGACGACGAACTGTATGTATATCGTGCTTGTCAACTGACTGACTGACTTTCTACCCCACCAGGACATCACACAAGCGATAAACACCCGATGAAACAGAGTGCCACCATGTGGGTGAGGATCACCGTGGATAGGTCCCAGAAACCGCGTTCAGGCAATTGGCCATATTTATGGCCTGCCTATATTGTGGCCCCTGGCAAAAGCCAGGGTGGGGCTTCAAATAACAAAAAATTTCGTCCTAAAAAGGACGAAACACCTTTTGCAAGGTTAGGTGCTTAAGTAACGAGGAAGCATATCGTGCTTTTTGTTAAAGAAAAAGCTTATGGTAGAGAAAACAGAAACAAAGTATGGGCTGATCTTGAGGATTATGGGATGGGAGAACAGTTGCTAGATAATCGTGGCCATATACCACACTTCCCAAAGCGCAGAGAGAACACAAGAAAGCATGTCTGATGTTGTTTACAATCAATACAGGGTGATGCAGGGCCATGTCATGTCTCCGCTCTTTTTAGTATATACATAGAATACCAAAAGAAGCCAGCTCTAAAGCAGTCGACCCAGAAAATACAGAAAATGAGAAACTTTAGTATTCAGGAAGAATTATATCCATACACAATAAACGAGCTACTATTTGCAGATGATCAGTACCTGTTCTACGATGAGGCGTACAGACTGCAAGAACATTTAAAGAGGCTAAGTTCAACATGCAGATGATATAACATGAAAGTAAATACAACTACAGCTGAAATAGTGCAGGTCAATAGAATTCCTAGTCAGTGCACTTATATACCAATGACACCATTACTAAGACATCGAAACGTAAGTATGAGCGCCAAGAAACGATTATAAACGTTACTAAGACATCCAAACCTAAGTATGCGCGCCAAGAAACGTTATAAACGTTACTAAGACATCCAGACGTAAGTATGAGCGCCAAGAAACGATTATAAACGTTACTAAGACACCCAGACGTAAGTATGAGCGCCAAGAAACGATTATAAACGTTACTAAGACACCCAGACGTAAGTATGAGCGCCAAGAAACGATTATAAACGTTACTAAGACACCCAGACGTAAGTATGAGCGCTAAGAAAAGATTATAAACGTTACTAAGACATCCAGACGTAGGTATGAGCGCTAAGAAACGATTATAAATGTTACTAAGACATCCAGACGTAAGTATGAGCGCCAAGAAACGATTATAAATGTTACTAAGACATCCAGACGTAAGTATGAGCGCCAAGAAACGTTATAAACGTTACTAAGACATCCAGACGTAAGTATGAGCGCCAAGAAACGATTATAAACGTTACTAAGACACCCAGACGTAAGTATGAGCGCCAAGAAACGATTATAAACGTTACTAAGACATCCAGACGTAGGTATGATCGCCAAGAAAATATTATTAACGACATATTCATGTCAGAGAGAATGAGGTTAAAAAGGTGGGGATGAAATGGGGAGAGCTGCATGCGAAAGCAAAGGATATAACGACTTACTGCAAGTTGTTTGAGGGCCCATGCTCCATTGGGGGGTTAGAAGGCAGAAAAAGAAGAAGAATATTCATACCAACACTGCGCTATCAGTGTCAGACTTAGACAGAATCAAAGGCTAACCTAACTAAAATTAACACCTGTCAAATGAGATGCCAGATAAAAGCCGCCAACTTAACCATCCGAGGCAGTTAGAAATTAAATTATCAGATTGTAGGAACAACACCATGCAGGAAATTCATTGAGAAATAGCTGTTCAGATGGTTTGGTCATCTAGAAAGACTGCAGCAGCCAAACTACCAACACAGGCGCTAAATCTGAAGTCAAAACAAGAGGTTGCTTCAGAAGAAATATAGACTGATGAAATTAAAGAGCTTCTGCATCGCCACGGAATGACAGTTGACATTGCTGCCCATCAAACAATGGATCGCAAACTTCTTCTCCCCACGTCACTTAACGGCAGAAGTGGAAATCGATGATGATGATGATGATGACTGAACTGGTTGCATATATCGTTGATGTGTGAGAGGACAATACCGAAATGCTGCTTACTTGTAGAGGACGATACCGACAGGCCGTTTACTTGTAGAGGACGATACCGACGTGCCGTTTACTTGTAGAAGACGATACCGACGTGCCGTTTGCATGTAGAGGACGATACCGACGCGCCGATTACTTGTAGAGGACGATACCGACGTGCCGTTTACTTGTAGGAGAAGTTCAAATGGAGAGTGTGTCTGTGTTTGAACTAGAGGCTTGGTTGTGATCTCAGTTCTTAAATCGCGAATTTAATCAACCAAGAAAAACAGTCAATTTATTTGGTCGTTGTAAAGAAACCTATTAGTCACTTCCAACATCTTGCTGCATATCTACAGGTCATGTTTGTTTGGTTCGCAGATCCGAAGTAAAATTGACTCAAGATGCATCATAAACACGCTGGACGACAAGACATCGGTAGACAGAGCCATGCTCTATGACTGCAAGGAACCTACAGTTTCCCACGTCTGGTATATGGGTGCGCCAGGTCAGATCCACCAAGATAAGGTCTTTTTATGTGTCGACGACCGTGTGGTTGTCCTTCGTCAGATCAAATGCCAAGATTTACACCCACAATGGCACTATAAAGAGGTTATCACTTCTTTCCTTCTTCTTTGTCTATGCAGTAGTGGTAGTAGTAAAAGTAGTAGTGGTAGTAGTATAAGTAGTAGTGGTAGTAGTATAAGTAGTAGTGGTAGTAGTATAAGTAGTAGTGGTAGTAGTATAAGTAGTAGTGGTAGTAAAAGAAGTAGTTTTAGTAGAATAAGTAGTAGTGGTAGTAGTGTTAGTAGTGGTAGAAGTATAAGTAGTAGTGGTTGTGGTATAAGTAGTAGTGGTAGTAGTATAAGTAGTAGTGGTAGTGGTATAACTAGTAGTGGTAGTAGTAAAAGTAGTAGTGGTAGTAGTATAAGTAGTAGTGGTAGTAGTATAAGTAGTAGTGGTAGTAGTATAACTAGTAGTGGTAGTAGTATAAGTAGTAGTGGTAGTAGAGTAAGTAGCAGTGGTAGTAGTATAAGTAGTAGTGGTAGTAGTATAAATAGTAGTGGTAGTAGTATAAGTGGTAGTGGTAGTAGTATAAATAGTAGTGGTAGTAGTATAAGTGGTAGTGGTAGTAGTATAAATAGTAGTGGTAGTAGTATAAGTAGTAGTGGTAGTAGTAAAAGTAGTAGTGGTAGTAGTATAAGTAGTAGTGGTAGTAGTATAAGTAGTAGTGGTAGTAGTATAAGTAGTAGTGGTAGTAGTATAAGTAGTAGTGGTAGTAGTATAAGTAGTAGTGGTAGTAGTAGTAGTAGTAGTAGTAAGTAGTAGTGGTAGTAGTAGTAAATAGTAGTAGTAGTAGTAGTAGTAGTAGTGGGTAGTAGTATAAGTAGTAGTGGTAGTAGTATAAGTAGTAGTGGTAGTAGTATAAGTAGTAGTAGTAGTAGTAGTAGTAGTAGTAGTAGTAGTAGTAGTAGTAGTAGTAGTAGTAGTAGTATAGTAGTAGTAGTAGTAGTAGTATAAGTAGTAGTAGTATAAGTAGTAGTAGTAGTAGTATAAGTAGTAGTAGTATAAGTAGTAGTAGTAGTAGTAGTAGTAGTAGTAGTAGTAGTATAAGAAGTAGTAGTAGTAGTAGTAGTAGTAGTGGTAGTAGTATAAGTAGTAGTGGTAGTAGTATAAGTAGTAGTGGTAGTGGTAAGTAGTAGTAGGTAGTAGTATAAGTAGTAGTGGTAGTGGTAGTACTAGTAGTAGTGGTAGTAATATAAGTAGTAGTGGTAGTAGTATAAGTAGTAGTGGTAGTAGTATAAGTAATAGTGGTAGTAGTATAAGTAGTAGTGGTAGTAGTATAAGTAGTAGTGGTAGTAGTATAAGTAGTAGTGGTAGTAGTATAACTAGTAGTGGTAGTAGTATAACTAGTAGTGGTAGTAGTATAAGTAGTAGTGGTAGTAGTATCACTAGTAGTGGTAGTAGTATAAGTAGTAGTGGTAGTAGTATAAATAGTAGTGGTAGTGGTATAAGTAGTAGTGGTAGTAGTATAAGCAGTAGTGGTAGTAGTATAAGCAGTAGTGGTAGTAGTATAAGTAATAGTGGTAGTAGTATAACTAGTAGTGGAAGTATAACTAGTAGTGGTAGTATAAGTAGTAGTGGTAGTAGTATAAGTGGTAGTGGTAGTAGTATAGGTAGTAGTGGTAGTAGTATAAGTAGTAGTGGTAGTAGTATAAGTAGTAGTGGTAGTAGTATAAATAGTATTGGTATTAGTGGTAGTAGTATAAGAAGCGGTGGTAGCAGTGATAGTAGTATAAATGCTAGTTTGTTTGTCCGGTCATTCGCTAATGTGATCGTCTGTCTATTAGTCGATTCTCTTGAATAGCTGGTCGGTTCCTGACACAGACCTCTGATCTACAACAATTTCATGTTAAACACAGACTAACATGATACAGTTAACGTCAGGAGACGTGGGTACCCTTACCCGAAACGCAGGCTGTGTTTGCTTTACAGATCACCATGCACGCCTTCCCGTCCCCATGGATAATACTCAGGACCAAACCCACACTTTTTCTGACAAACTCTTTTCCTATGCCACTGGACTCCATCAGGATCGCACAGTGACTGCAAAGTGCGGGGGACAGTGCAGGAATAGTGAGTATTACAACAACCAGTCCAAGACTGACCCTGGCTATCGAATACCTTAACACTACTTATGTGACACATTATACAAAACAATGTCGCCGTCAAGCGCTACAAAACACAGAATGACTACGATACCCTAACGAAACACATTATAACATGCTATCGGTCACTATAATATCACTATATTACGCTAAGAATCTTACCGTCATTCTGTTATATGTCTCCTATCTAACGTCCGATGTCTGACTTCCTTTTCTCCAATCATCTCCGTGGCTTTAGTCACAACCCGACAGCTGAGGCCAAATCCATGCAGGACCTGTGAACACGCAAGCCAAGCGCCCAAGTCAGTCAGTCACGCTTTATCGCTGTCATTAATTCTTTAGGTTGAACTGTGGTTTACCCTATGGGTCACCCAAGCAGACACCAGGACCGTCACGATCCGTTACTTTTTTGTCATGTACGTACAAGCAATGGACCGTCCCTATTCTACACCCTCCCATAACTGCACACACAAAACTCTGACAGTTCTGTTGGATAGCTGGACAGTTCTGTTGGATAGCTGGTCAGTTCTGTTGGATAGCTGGTCAGTTCTGTTGGATAGCTGGTCAGTTGTCTTGGATAGCTGGTCAGTTCTGTTAGATAGCTGGTCAGTTCTCTTGGATAGCTGGTCGCTTTTGATTAATGGGTAGTTTATGAAGTCTCAATAGTTCCAAGACTGCATGTTTGAATTATTGATACACTGATCTCCATGCCGTCTTTTTGAAAACACTACTAATATTGTTGTTTCCGCTAGAGCTTATGTTGTTACTACTACTACTACTACTACTACTACTACTACTACTACTACTACTACTACTACTACTACTACTACTACTACTACTACTACTACTACTACTACTACTACTACTGCTGCTGCTGCTGCTGCTGCTGCTGCTACTACTACTACTACTACTACTACTACTACTACTACTACTACTGCTGCTGCTGCTGCTGCTATTGCCGCGGTTACTGCTACCAATGCTGCTGCTGCTACCACCACCACAACTGCTACACAATCAAATCTTCATAATCTTATATCCTCAGGAGAAATGGCTCTACCACATACATACTGGACAGTGTCTCACCATTGCTGCCGACAGTCGCCTGTTCGTGTCCCCCTGCACCAACAGTGGGCTACAGCTGTGGCACTTTCAGAGACGAAGATCGGATCTCAGATTTCCATCATATTTGTGACCAGTATCAACCTAGTACGTGTGTTTGTGTTAAAAATTTTGCACTCACATTACTTACCTTATTTTGATCAAATAAATTGTATCAATGAGTGTGATTCTGACCTCAGTAACCAGTGAAAATCGACTGGTCTATCAGAAATATGCAGACGACAAATAATAATTTTTAAGCAAAAACAAATAATTATTGTTTGTAAATCCTCTACAATATTGTGAGTTTGATGTATAAACTGTCCTTGCAGTTCGGCACCAAAATACCATGTTCGTGGGGAGTGTGCTATAGAGTTCTCCTTTACTTTCAATAATCATCAAACATTGGGATACGACTGAGGTCGCCACGACCAGGAATAAAGTCACGAATCAACGCTCAGAGCATATTGTCTTAATTGAATAGTTATTTATTTTTCATTTATACCCGCTTTCGTTATTTAACTTTTCATTTTGAAATAGCTCTTACTGCCCTATTTTCCCACCTTTTAAGAAATTTTATTTTACGCAATCTTCCCGAAAGCTTGTTCGTTCGTATATAATTACTGATAAAAGGCTTTTATGGAAATGTCCAGTTCTATTTGTTCCCTTGTCTTCTGTTCTCTCCATTGATCTTCCCTGTCACATCCTGTGTTGTCTTAAGTCTTTGATTACTCTTGTGTTCGACACTAACCTATATGACAATCTGTCTGTCGGTCGGTCTGTCTGTACTGTCGGTCGGTCGATCTGTCTTTCTGTCTGTATGCCCGCACGTCTGCCTGCTTACCTACATAAACTACTTATCTATTAATCACATTACCCCCGTGTGGATTTCAGGGCCTTTTTTTTTGGGTGGCTTGGGGAAATAGACCCACTGCCCCTTGCATGCATGTCGTAGGATGCGACTAATAAACAATATTTCATTCGAAGCCGGGGTGCAGTTGCCAAAGAGGCGAAAACACAACAGTCAGCATAGATCGGTAAAACGGATGTGCAATAAGAACCCAAATTTTAGAGCAAGATTCGAAGTGAACAAAAAATCCTAATTTTCCGCCAAAGTTTACAGACGGTGCTAAGAAGAAGAAGAAGAAGAAGAAGAAGAAGAAGAAGAAGAAGAAGAAGAAGAAGAAGAAGAAGAAGAAGAAGAAGAAGAAGAAGAAGAAGAAGAAGAAGAAGAAGAAGAAGAAGAAGAAGAAGAAGAAGAAGAAGAAGAAGAAGAAGAAGAAGAAGAAGAAGCAGAAGAAGAAGAAGAAGAAGAAGAAGAAGCAGAAGAAGAAGACCTGGTATTTTTGCATATAAATCTAAAAGTCTGTATGCCTGTCTTTTTGCTTGTATGTCAGTCTGTCCGTCTGTCAGTCTGTGACCCAGTGCAGTGACGTCAGTTAACCCTATTTAAGCACGATAATGAATACAAAATAAATAGATATCCGCAAAACCCAGTTTCCTAGTGGCAACTCAGTGTGTGGAAGAGTTACGCTGACCTGGTGGAGAACTCACGTGCCAGTACACTGACCTAAATTGTAGGCAGACTAGATTTGTATATGTCTGAAAGTAGCACCGACCTGACAGCAGGCCATCTAAGGATTTGTACAAACACACACGTTTATTTGTTGACAGTTTCAGTGGAAAACTAAACACCGAAAGATAATCAATAATTTCCTGCACATACGGGTAGGTGGTTTAAACATTGCTGATAAAATTATCTATGTGCGTGTATATTCCTTGTGTATGTTTATATGTCTGTCTGTCTGTCTGTCTGTCTGTCTGTCTGTCTGTCTGTCTGTCTGTCTGTCTGTCTGTCTGTCTGTCTGTGTGCTCGTGCGTGCGTACGTGTGTATGTGTGTATGTATATATATATATATATATATATATATATATATATATATATATATATATATATATATATATATATATAAAAAGGGGGGGGGGTGGTAGTGGTACTCCGGGAGTTTAAGAATTCTCTAAGATTGAAAGTCGATTCACGCTTGCGGCCTGTGGTCAGTTCCAGCTTGCGGCCTGTGGTCAGTTCCAGCTTGCGGCCTGTGGTCAGTTCCAGCTTGCGGCCTGTGGTCAGTTCCAGCTTGCGGACTGTGGTCAGTTCCAGCTTGCGGACCTGTGGTCAGTTCCAGCTTGCGGCCTGTGGTCAGTTCCAGCTTGCGGCCTGTGGTCAGTTCCAGCTTGCGGCCTGTGGTCAGTTCCAGCTTGCTGCCTGTGGTCAGTTGCAGCTGTGATCAATCGATGATGCTGGTCACAATCTCCCACCGTCCCGTCAACGGTAGACCACAATTCACTCGGTTGTGTGTTGTACACAAGGGCCCTCGCAGAATCTAATCCAGTCTGTAGACATTCACTGTTACACACACAAGTCGATGTTACAGAATCTAACCCAGTCTGTAGACATTCAATGTTGCACACAAGTCGATGTTACAGAAACTAACCCAGTCTGTAGACATTCACTGTAGCACACAAGTCGATGTACAGAAACAAACCTAGTTGTAGACATTCACTGTTGCACATAAGTCGATGTTACAGAAACTAACCCAGTCTGTAGACATTCACTGTTGTACACAAGTCGATGTTACAGAAACTAACCCAGTCTTTAGACATTCACTGTTGCACACAAGTCGATGTTACAGAAACTAACCCAGTCTGTAGACATTCACTGTTGCACACAAGTCGATGTTACAGAAACTAACCCAGTCTGTAGATATTTACTGTTGCACACAAGTCGATGTTACAGAAAGTAACCCAGTCTGTAGACATTCACTGTTGCACATAAGTCGATGTTACAGAAACTGACCCAGTCTGTAGATATTCTCTGTTGCACACAAGTCGATGTTACAGAAAGTAACCCAGTCTGTAGACATTCACTGTTGTACACAAGTCGATGTTAAAGAAACTAACCCAGTCTGTAGACATTCAATGTTGTACACAAGTCGATGTTAAAGAAACTAACCCAGTCTGTAGACATTCACTGTTGCACATAAGTCCATGTTACAGAAACAAACCTAGTCTGTAGACATTTACTGTTGCACACAAGTCGATGTTACAGAAACTGACCTAGTCTGTAGATATTCTCTGTTGCACACAAGTCGATGTTACAGAAACTAACCCAGTCTGTAGACATTCACTGTTACACACAAGTCGATGTTACAGAAACTAACCCAGTCTGAAGACATTCACTGTTGCACACAAGTCGATGTTACAGAAATCAACCCAGTCTGTAGATTCTTTGACAATAGATTTGGCGCTGATTTCGACAACCTGCATAGGAGTTGACTGTTGACAAAGCAATGGAAAACAGTTTAACTGATTGATTGGCACTTTTTCGTCTTTCCAGACTATAATGTTATATTGTGCTCCGAGTAGGCATAGGACTCACAACCTATGGCGATGGCGAGTATGACTAGCAAGAACCACCCGCGTTAAGAACAGTCTTTCACAATTATAGCATGGGGTTTCAGGACCATTGTTTGTCAACATTTGTGTTGAAGTATGTTTCTTCTCAGAGGTTCGGCACTCATTCTTTCGGCATTCATTTCTTCCTTAATTCTCATTCCCCTCCTTATGAGCCCCCTCCACACAACACGTCCATAGCATTTTGTTTCCACAAGTCCACATCAATATCTGTATCATTCATGTCCCGCCTGCACGCTTGTTTTATATTGTAGTAGAGGTCTCCTCTATCCGTGTGCAGAACGGCAGACTAGCCAAATGTTCTTTCTAGTGTAGCCACAAACTGTCACTAAATGCTGCGGTTGCCGTGTGACGTAGTTCACATAAATAAATTATAATTTAAAAAAAGGTCTGCTCCAAAGTCGTGGCTCACACTTTATCAAATCTTCTTCTTCTTCTTGTTCACCGGCTGTGATTCCGGCGGTAACTAACCCACGGTTGTTCGTTCACTGTTGGACTTTTGGATTTTACCTTGACCTGAGTTTGCGTGTACATCACGTTTTACTGGCTTATTTGTTTGCAGTACTCGTTCCCAGCCTCTCCGGCAGACTGTACTCCGACTTCGGAGGAAGACGTCAAGCCCAGTTTCTAGGTTGACTGTGCACATTGTTTTGTGTGGGTCGAGATGTTGCCTTATTTGTGTGGACATTCTCTTTGACAAGTTTTAACAAGTGTGGCCCCCGGCATGTCGTCCTTAAGGCACACTCTATGTAGAGTTTTCAGTTCTCAAGGGAAGGCATGTTGCAGATCATGGGCATTCCCCGCCATCCAAGGAGGCTTCCATAAATGCACTGCCGACACATGATGCTCTGGTTTCTGGGCTCACCCAAGGAATCATTCACGTCCTGCCCATGACTGCTTAACCTCGCAACCGTGTATTGAGCTTCCCACGCTACAAGGCTGCGCTCTCCGGAGATCAGCGGGGAGCAGCCCGCAGGTCTAGGACGTTTGTGGCCACACAAATAGTAGACATTCATTCTTTTTCAATCTTACGTTAGAGAAACTTTAACGTTGTGTAGCTGTGCCCTTAGCACGACAGAATGGGGAAGCAAAATGCGTCAGGCGTGGCTTCAGACTGTTTGGTCCCAAGTCACTCACAAAAGTTGGACCAGTGGATAGATTCATTCAATAGATTTTGCGCTAATTGGTACGAGTTATGATCGTAGGACTTTGAGCTTGCATGTGTGCCAAAGCGGAACTTTGTCGGACATTGTTTTCAAGCCTGATTGAATAGTTGCTGCCATGGTGTTTTCAGCGCGGTGACGACGATAACTGAGGATGTGACAGAGGATGTACGTAGGTCACAACCTATGGCTGCGAGTATGACCAGCAAGAGATGTTACTCGCGTTAAGGCAGCGGGTAAATCTATAGCAGGGTTGAGGTTCGGCAGCCAGTTTGTCAACATTCGCTCCCGAAATTTTCTTCTCAGAGGCTCAGCCCTGGTTCTTTTAGCAAGCATTCCTTGAGTTTTGTTACTCATTCCCCTGCCTTATGAGGCGGGCCACACAACAGCGTCCATAGCATTTTTTCCCTCTAGGGTCCACCGCCATCTCCGAGATCCATGGCCAACTCTGTTACGTGTCTCATTTGTAGACAGGTTATCCGTGGACCACCTCTATCCGTGTGCAACATGAGACTTGCAAATGTTCTTTCTAGTGTAGCCACAGAACAGTCACTAAATGCTGCGGTTGAGTGTGTGACGTAGTATCTCCTTATAAATCACATTATAAGACTTTAAAAAAAGGTGTGACCGAAATCACCGTGGCTCACACTTTATCAAATATCTCGACAATTCTAGTACAATTCAACACGAATGTTTTGCACGCAGTCTCAGATTTCCAATCACCTCATGATTTCATGCTCACAACTGCACAGGTACAGTTGTTTTCTTACAGTGGCGAAATTCTTGGATCTGTGTGGCTCTGAAACTTTGCCTACCCCTCAAAATGTTTACAGCTAGTCATAGAAACCATTTGTTTGTTATTACCTAATTAACAAGCATTACGGCAGTCCATGACGTATGCACTTTACTATTCAGCGCGACTGAGTTTTTCACGGATTATCTCCAAACCAGGTTTTGTTAACTTCGCCTCAAGCTGTTTACTGTACACATGATAATTGTATGCTTTAAAACGGCGGATCTTCTTTCTCGTATGCCACAGATACACACACACAAATTGGTTCTTATTTACATTATAATTTGTTCCTAAAGGGACATGATTAATAACATTTTGCATACCGAATGTCACTAATTGACACTGAACGTTTGCTGAGTGACATATTTTTACAGTATGGCACGATTTTGGGAATGCGCGTTTAAAAAAACAATAGTTGAGCACTGACTTGCGACCCAACTAGGTCGTTGCTGCCGTGACACACGGATGACGTCGCTGTCCCTAGTCCGTTAATTACGCATCTGTGTTGTGGTATGTCGTGTGCATCCAGCGGAGAAAGAGCGCCAATCGCTGGCAGTTCAGCGCGCAAGTTTGGCGTTTCAATCGATTTTTTCTCCCTTCACTGCTAGACCGGCAGAGTGAAAGTGTCTGAGCAGAAATCCAGTGTGCTGTGTCTGTCCTCCAGGTCCCTCCATCGTGCGCTGGTCGCCATGATTTATTCTGTGGTGTTTTCTGAACGCCGTTAGTTTAAACTTGCCCGATAACAGATGAAATGTGTGTTTCTGTGAGACCTTGCATAACCCGGCACAGAGCCTGGCTCGGATACAGGTAACCGACCCGTGCTGTCACGTGCCTGTGTCAAATGCATTGTTTCCGCAAACAACGGGCTTCGATTTATGCACATGAGAACTGTTGAAGGTTCTTACTCAGGTTTGTGTTGCAGTGAATTCTTTTGTCCGGCGAAATTGTGGCTGTATAGTAGCATACACGCTGTCTGTGCTGTTAAGAAGAAGTTCAGTTTTAACTGACCCTGTTTTTAAGTATTCTGGTTCGATGTTCTCTAATCTAAGTGTAAGCGAGTTGTGGAAAACAGTCTGTTTCATAGTTAGCGACATGAGACTCAAGAACTATGAGAACGGTTCTTGTTTCAGGATGTACGTCAAATATAAGCGGCGACATGCGTGTTGAAATATGTTTCTTCTTCTTCGTGTTCACCGGCTGTTAACTCTGAGGGAAGGTTCTGGTTGTTCGTCCACCTCTGGACTTTAGTCTTTCTCCAGAAACTGGGCGTTGCGTGCACATTCCTTCTGGAGATCTGATTTATTTGTTTGCAGACGGCTGGTTCCTTGGCTCTCAGGCAGATACATCCCAACTTCGAAGACCCCCCCCCCCCCCCCACCCAGTTAGTCCACTCTAACGAAATGCTTATTAGGAAAGCAGCGAGTCTGTTCTTGTCTCTCCCCCCCCCCCCCACAATGAGACCCCGGAACCCACACGGGGATATGTTAAAAAAATTTGCATCTACCTGAGAAATTAGGAACCAAACAAAAGTCTGCATTAAATAAGACAAACATTTAAAGCGGAAGCGCGCGTAAATCTTCAAGTTCCGGAACAATACTAAAGTCCACAAGGAAAACAACCAGAATATTCTGCACGAGTTTACAGTTGGTGAACGCGAAGAAGAAAAAGAAGAAGAAAAAGAAGAAGAAAAACTGTGTAGATTATGTTTTTTATTTTTTTTGTGAGGACAGTTTTCGTTTGGCGGACTCTGTTTTTTGCTGTGTCTAGAAGTTTCCCACCAGTGTGGTTTGTTTTGTAGTGACTCTATGTTTCGTGTGTCTAGAGATGTCCCACCAATGTGGTTTGTTTTGTAGTGACTCCATGTTTGGTGAGTCTAGAGATGTCCCACCAATGTGGTTTGTTTTGTAGTGACTCCATGTTTGGTGAGTCTAGAGATGTCCCACCAATGTGGTTTGTTTTGTAGTGACTCCATGTTTCGTGTGTCTAGAGATGTCCCACCAATGTGGTTTGTTTTGTAGTGACTCCATGTTTGGTGTGTCTAGAGATGTCCCACCAATGTGGTTTGTTTTCTAGTGACTCCATGTTTGGTTTGTCTAGAGATGTCCCACCAATGTGGTTTGTTTTGTAGTGACTCCATGTTTGGTTTGTCTAGAGATGTCCCACCAATGTGGTTTGTTTTGTAGAGACTCCATGTTTGGTTTGTCTAGAGATGTCCCACCAATGTGGTTTGTTTTGTAGAGACTCCATGTTTGGTTTGTCTAGAGATGTCCCACCAATGTGGTTTGTTTTGTAGTGACTCCATGTTTGGTATGTCTAAAGATGTCCCACCAATGTGGTTTGTTTTGTAGAGACTCCATGTTTGGTATATCTAAAGATGTCCCACCAATGTGGTTTGTTTTGTAGAGACTCCATGTTTGGTATATCTAAAGATGTCCCACCAATGTGGTTTGTTTTGTAGAGACTCCATGTTTGGTATATCTAAAGATGTCCCACCAGTGTGGTTTGTTTTGTAGTGACTCCATGTTGGTTGTGTCTAGAGATGTCCCACCAATGTGGTTTGTTTTGTAGTGACTCCATGTTTCATGTGTCTAGAGATGTCCCACCAGTGTGGTTTGTTTTGTAGCTACTCCATGTTGGTTGTGTCTAGAGATGTCTTACCAGTGTGGTTTGTTTTGTAGCTACTCCATGTTGGTTGTGTCTAGAGATGTCCCACCAGTGTGGTTTGTTTTGTAGTGACTCCATGTTGGTTGTGTCTAGAGATGTCCCACCAATGTGGTTTGTTTTGTAGCTACTCCATGTTGGTTGTGTCTAGAGATGTCCCACCAATGTGGTTTGTTTTGTAGTGACTCCATGTTTGGTGAGTCTAGAGATGTCCCACCAATGTGGTTTGTTTTGTAGTGACTCCATGTTTCGTGTGTCTAGAGATGTCCCACCAATGTGGTTTGTTTTGTAGTGACTCCATGTTTGGTGTGTCTAGAGATGTCCCACCAATGTGGTTTGTTTTCTAGTGACTCCATGTTTGGTTTGTCTAGAGATGTCCCACCAATGTGGTTTGTTTTGTAGTGACTCCATGTTGGTTGTGTCTAGAGATGTCCCACCAATGTGGTTTGTTTTGTAGCTACTCCATGTTGGTTGTGTCTAGAGATGTCCCACCAATGTGGTTTGTTTTGTAGTGACTCCATGTTGGTTGTGTCTAGAGATGTCCCACCAGTTTGGTTTGTTTTGTAGCTACTCCATGTTGGTTGTGTCTAGAGATGTCCCACCAGTGTGGTTTGTTTTGTAGTGACTCCATGTTGGTTGTGTCTAGAGATGTCCCACCAATGTGGTTTGTTTTGTTGTGACTCCATGTTGGTTGTGTCTAGAGATGTCCCACCAGTGTGGTTTGTTTTCTAGTGACTCCATGTTTGGTTGTGTCTAGAGATGTCCCACCAATGTGGTTTGTTTTGTAATGACTCCATGTTGGTTGTGTCTAGAGATGTCCCACCAGTGTGGTTTGTTGTGTAGTGACTCCATGTTTGGTATGTCTAGAGATGTCCCACCAGTGTGGTTTGTTGTGTAGTGACTCCATGTTTGGTATGTCTAGAGATGTCCCACCAGTGTGGTTTGTTTTGTAGTGACTCCATGTTTGGTATGTCTAGAGATGTCCCACCAGTGTGGTTTGTTTTGTAGTGACTCCGTGTTTGGTGTAAATTGTAAATAGTCATTGTTAAAACCGTGTCTGTTTCTCTCCAGGATCACTTTGCAGTGAAGGCTAAGACTTGATCATGGACACTAAATTATTTCTAGGATAGTATGAACAAAGACTTGGCGTCTGAATATGAAGTGTTCAATGTCTTTGGAAAGCTTTCGCGCGGAAATCAATTGCTAGGTGTTTGTGTACACACTTTCAAGTTTGTAGACACTTTACTAAATTTCGATGGATAGAATCCAAGTGCGCGTGTGAGTTTTTATATATCAAGAAATAAATATTTTCGAGAAATCCTGGGAAATAAATTCGGCATTAAAATGTCACTGTGTGTTTGTTCTTTTGCAAGTCACGCGTAAAAAATCCTGGTCTGCACAGCAATGGAGAATATTCAAAAGATATATTAGGATGGCTGACTTTTCATGGGAACAGACAGACTGGGAATTGACCAGGCGTGTTTTCTCCATCCTAATGCATCAATGAAACACTGAGAACTAGGTTGTCAAGCTGCCTGGTTGCCGTTGTCAAGCCAAAATGAGAAAACTAACTCTCAGACTCCTTCCTTGCCATAAAAAACTGGTCATCTTTCTCAGTTTTGCCTTGATCATCATCATGCTGTTCACTCCGGCTGTACGCAACTCGGTTTTCTATCCCGTGTGGCCCTTCGCTTGGAGAGAGTTGGGAACCCTGGACGCCATCCAGATTCAGTTTTTCGCCCAGAATATATTGGATGTGGAGGCGGTAGCTTCGTGTCCTTCAAGGTCTCCTCCAACAGTCAAGCTATCTGATGTGGACAGGTCCCGGATGAAAACCTACACAGATGTTGACAGTAGTAAACTTCGCAATCCAGAGCACCAACGATTCCTGCCTTCTATGACTGTGGAGGACAAAGTCAGACTATTACATACATATATGGTTCTCGCCGAAGCACTGAAGACTGTGAGAGTCGAGTTCTTCTTTGTTCAAGGTTCTTTACTGGGCGTCCATAGACACAAAGGACTAATCCCCTGGGATGACGACATCGATATTGCCGTGAATGTATCAGACTGGAAGTTGGTTCGACACGGTCTCTCCTGCATCGAAGGCTTTGGACTTTCAGTTACAAATTACATGCATTGGAAATTTTTCTCCAACAATTCCCAGTCCAGTCCAGGTTTCCCTTTTGTCGACATCTTTTTCTACACGGAAAACAAACACTTCATCTGGGCAATGTCCAAATCTACGTCCTATTATCTAGTCTTTCCTAAAGCTGATACATTCCCTCTGACCACTGGGCAGTTTGAAGGACTCAGAGTTCCGGTGCCTAAAAACGTGGACATGTTGTTGAAAGTTCGTTACAACTACGACACATGTCAGTCACGTAGTATGAACCATAAAAGCCACCAGGTCATGAGCTGGTCGCAGATTTCCGACATTCCCTTGCGCGTCATTGACTTATCTCTACCAGATGTACCACCTGACGGCGACGTAGAGATAGTCCAGTATTATCTTTTTGTTGGTTTCTGGTTGTTTCTTGCTTCAACTGTCCGCCTCCCCAACACAGCTGCCTGACAGAAATTGTGCAAATGGTGACTTTCAACATATAAAAATAAAGTAAGATGAAGTAAGCTAAAGCGAAGTAGCGGCATGTCAAGTAAATGAAGTAAAAAGGAGTTTGGTAAAACATATAATCTACAGTATGTTTCAAAAGTCATGCTCTCACAGCAACAAATATCTCCAAAACTTCTGTACGAATCAACTCGCATTGTTTGCATGTGGCCTTAGATTTGCCATGTCCTTGTGATTTTGTAGTCTACAATTGCACAACTGTTGCTATTTTCGTGAAGCGGCGAATTTCTTTGATCCATGTTTAATACATAATTTGTGAACGCTAAAACACACAATGTACAGTAACTGACACACGCAATGTACAGTAACTGAAACACGCAATGTACAGTAACTGAGACACGCAATGTACAGTAACTGAGACACGCAATGTACAGTAACTGAGACACGCAATGTACAGTAACTGAGACACGCAATGTACAGTAACTGAGACACGCAATGTACAGTACTGAGACACGCAATGTACAGTAACTGAGACACTCAATGTACAGTAACTGCAATGTACAGTAACTGACACACGCAAGTACAGTAACTGAGACACGCAATGTACAGTAACTGAGACACGCAATGTACAGTAACTGACACGCAATGTACAGTAACTGAGACACGCAATGTACAGTAACTGAGACACGCAATGTACAGTAACTGAGACACGCAATGTACAGTAACTGAGACACGCAATGTACAGTAAACTGAGACACGCAATGTACAGTAACTGAGACACGCAATGTACAGTAACTGAGACACGCAATGTACAGTAACTGAGACACGCAATGTACAGTAACTGAGACACGCAATGTACAGTAACTGAGACACGCAATGTACAGTAACTGAGACACGCAATGTACAGTAACTGAGACACGCAATGTACAGTAACTGAGACACGCAATGTACAGTAACTGAGACACGCAATGTACAGTAACTGAGACACGCAATGTACAGTAACTGAGACACGCAATGTACAGTAACTGAGACACGCAATGTACAGTAACTGAGACACGCAATGTACAGTAACTGAGACACGCAATGTACAGTAACTGAGACACACCTGGAGATTGTTTCGAAATTATTTCACAACAACAATGATGAGTGGTGATTGTTCTCAATTTGTTAATGTAATATTCACATTAGCCTATCCAGCATACAATGAAAAATCCACACCTCAAGGGAGACTAATGCTGGAAATGACCACCTGAGATTGAAACACCTTGAAACCCCTACAGTGTGGTGTTTTGAAAAGTTGCCGTTTCTCAACTGAAATCATGCTGATATTTTGCTTTCAATCGGCGTCTGTTTTTTTTTTCATATACCGAAATTAAGGCACACACACACACACACACACACGCGCGCGCGCGCGCGCTCCCGCACACACACACAAAATTAAATGTTTATTTAAATTTAAATAAACCTTGCAATAACGCTATTATGAACAGGAACAGGTTGCGTGCCAAATCTCAAGAACTTGCACCGAACCGTTTCTGGGTTACAGATTTTTAAAGCTGAGCACGACTTTTGAAGCGGACTATAACATGATATGTTTCATGCGCTGATGGATAGATCACTGACTGTAATTGTTTCATTTTTATGTTAAATGTTTTTAAGCAATGACGCAATTCATATTGTGTCCTTGACATTCCCCAGTCTAGTTAGTAATGTTGTTGTTGTGCTGTTCCATTTATTGTCGTGATAGCCTTGAGGCGGGACGCTCGCCAGTTCCAGTCTGCGACGGGCTGATTTGGAAAATACAAATATTATCCTGGCTTCTGGGTCCACCCTGCCCTAAATGGGTATCGGGTAATATCCTGTGAAGTATCACCGGCCAGTATTGTTTTAAACACGTCAATATTTGTTGAGTAACGATTTAGGAGAGCAGACATGAACTCCCCCTCCCCCCCACCCCCCTTCTTTTCTTTGTTTCCCCACAACATTTCTATGAAATAACTGGAGGAAGTAAATAAGAAGAACAAGAGAAAGAAGAAAGAATTCAGTCAGACAACGATGGATCAAGAACAGGTACTCCAATAAAAACAACACAATTATTATAGTATGGGTTTGGCGATGTCATTGAACCTTGTGACAAGATGAGAGGGTTTGGAAATATCGTTGAGGCGGGCAAGTTTAGCTGTACCAGATAGTAGGTAGAAAACCTCTCTGTCTCTCGTTCTCTTTGTCTTCGTCCCCCCCCCCCCCCTCTCTCTCTCTCTCTCTCTCTCTCTCTCTCTCTCTCTCCTTCAGTGGTATTCATTTTTGCCACTAATTCTCTTTTCCTTATTTTATAGCTTTATCTTTGTTGTTTATGTGGGTTCCATTGCCAAAAATTATAATCCTACTATTATCAGATGTTCTTGAAGTGTGTTCCGCCCAGAGCCACCGTCTTTTCTTCACCTCTTGATCCACTGCCTTATATTGAACCCTTCTTTCGGTGTGCTTTCGTTTACTTCATCGTTATTCCTTTGTTCTGTAAATTCTAATAATATCCCGTTGTTCGTATTCATATTTCTTGAATGCAAATATTTCGTCCTCTTCTTCTTCCTCTTCTTCTTCTTCTTCTTCTTTTTCTTCTTCTTATTATTATTATTATTGTTTTTATTATTATTGTTATTCTTCTTCTTCTTCTTCTTATTATTATTATTATTGATGTTATTCAGCCCTCAGAAACAGAGCCGAACATTCCTACTTTGGTTTCAGAAAACCTCATCCATCATCCTGTTCGTCAACATTAGTGTACATGTTATTCTTGGGTTTTATTTTCAGATAAGTCTTCGTTAGCCCAATTGTATGTTTGTAATTTCGTTAGCCCAATTGTATGTTTGTAATTTCGTTAGCCCAAAAGTATGTGTGTAGTGTGAATGTTCTTGTAATTGATAAAATATGTAGTTTCAAACTTCAGGGTGTTTGTTTGTTATTTCCCTGCATGTACTGTCAGACGAAGGAAGAAAAATCGACACATACATCACATTAAATCGCTGCATGTGTGTCCGACTGAAGCAAGCAGATTTTTACTGGGGATGGATCAATTATAGTTTTAAAAAATAAATTGTTCTTAAAAAAAGGGGTTGGGGCTGGGGGTGGGTGGGGGGGGGGGATGAGTGAATCTGCAAATCTTTGCTTCACATCCCGATAATCCACGTCTGGTAGTAATGGTAGTCCTGCCTATCCACAGCCTTCTGTCGCGTGTACTCTCAGTCATTTCAGACATAGTGTGTGTTGTGTCCTCCGTGCCATGATGCCACACTGTGCAGCGACTTCTCTCTTGGTCTTCTTCTCCTCATTGATCTTTGTCACGACAAACTTTAGTTTCTTTTCTTCTCATAATATAATCAAAGACTGTAGATTGTCGACTGCTGGTGCGATAATCAGTTCTCTTCATAAAGACATTCTTTCAAAACATTCATTTCTCATTGTATTTGCTTGTAGTGTCGAAGTGAGAAGACTATTTATAGACTTTTGTCATGGCATGGAGGGGTGTCGGTACACGAACTGATACACGCTGTTGGAGACTGCCAGTTGTAGATAGTCATGATCGCCCACGTCACCTGAAGATGATAAGGATATTCCCATAATTCAGCCAGAAAACAAATCTCTGCATTTTCTATATACTTTCTCACAACTCGACGTAAACTGTCCATGACTCCCTTCCTTATGTCAACTGATATGAGTATTTACACAGAAAAGCGATATCTGTACACGCTGTGTCAAAAGTGTACGGCGCCAAGAGAAGTTCAGACAGTCTTGTTCAGTAGGGAATTACTGCATTCTCTACGAGAAACTGTGACTTTGGCACAAGCTGGTTCGTCACCATCATCGTTGTCTTTGTTGTGCCATTATTTGTCAAACAGAACTCGCGGTCTCTTCCCCCAGTCCCTTCCATTACCGGAATGGCATCCTGCAAGTTTCTGTAACAAAAACACGCCCAACCCTTGTCCTCTCTCATCCGGTCTTGGGACCGGCAATGGAGAGAGCATGGGCTGATTGCTATACACAGTTCACTTGTGCTCCAACAATCAAACGATTTTAAGTGGGTTTTTTTTTTCTTTAGTAAAATTAGATTGACTGATCCCCAGAGCAACGCTAACAAAGTGGCTAACACTCTGGCTGGCCCGCCCGCTCGCTGGTCAAGTGTTCGGATCTTCTTCTCACCCTAACGTTGGTACAAGGAAAGCGTTACCGATCACATCATTCATCGATTGCTGACTCATCGTGAGATGTGTTACCAGGTGACGCAAGAGTTATTTCCACTCCACAGATCTCGTCCATTGTGTTGACCATGCATACTACTGACGAATTAATTCCACACCAGCTCGTTAGAAGGCCTCCTTTGTCTTTGGGATCAATTATATTGATGAACTCCTCCGCACCACCACGTTGGGCGGCCCTTTTGTCTTGGGAATCAATCAGTTTGATTCACTACATAGCATCACCTCAGACCAGCCAACTCAATTTCTATCGGCAGATAGACAGAAGGACAGACAGGCAGGCAGACATGAAGAAAAAGAGAACATGTCAGACACAAGCCTCACACCACGGCGCAACCACACAAACCTGGTCGATCACTGGTTGACTAACCAGCCTACACAAGAGGCCCGCCACCACTCGCCTACAAGACCACACTTTTGACATCGATTTCTTCCATTCATCCGCTGCTGTGGCTGTCAATTCTCCGCTTCCTCGCCGGCGCAAAGTTCGGCGACTTGTGTGGCTATGAGACAGGCTCAAGATGGGGCCAGTGGTCGTGGCAAGGCGAATACTGCCGTATAGACCTTAGGTATTACCATCAACATCATGTTGCATGCCGAAAATCTTGAGAGATCACACGTACAGTACGTTTCAGACGTCGTGCCCTCAAACTTCACAAACATTTCAACAACTTATGCGTGGATCAGCATGCATTTTTACACGTGGCCCTAGATTTCCCATGTCCTTATGGTTTTAAAATTTAAAATTTC